GGTTTAGGTTGGACAATAGGAAAAACTTCCTATCTGTCAGGGTGGTAAGCACTGGAATAAATTGCCTAAGGAGGTTGTGGAAACTCCAGCATTGGAGGTTTTTAAGAGCAGGTTAGACAAACACCTGTCAGGAATGGTCTAGACAATACTTAGTCCTGCCATGAGTGCAGGTGACTGGTCTAGATGACCTCTTAAGGTCCCTTCCAGTTCTGTGATTCTATGACTTAGTGCATGTCTGTCAGCTGCCATTAGTTCCTTTTTGTATATGTAACTAGCTTCTGTTAAGTGTATTAGCACACAGGGTTTTCTGTGAAATTTGCTGGTTAATTTGTAGTGCATTGCTATCAACTCATTCAAATGAGTTCCCATTTACAGACTTGTTTCTAATGGTAAGTGCACTGAATTAGATTTTAGACTGTAAGCTCTTTAGGCAGTGACCTGGTGCTCTTGCCTGTCAGTAAAATGCCTTGCACACACCTGGCATTTATATAAAGAACACAGTGCAAGTCCTTATGATTTAATGAACTCTCCGTGGAGTATGAACTGTCAGATGATTTTTTTAAAAAGTAATTAGCCAATAAATCCCTTTCCTGCTAAAAAGGGGTGTTTGAGTGTGGATATTGGCTGTTGCAATGTAGATTTTAAAAAGTTATTAGATACATTAAGTGTAATTCTCTTCAACTGCCAACAGGGAAATAGTAAATGGGCTTAATGTAGAAGAAGAAATGGGTAGACAGGAAAGAGATGCATGCCTGCTAGTGGAGAAAAGCCTGTCTGTGCCTAACACACTGGAGAAGGTCAGGGAAAGTCGATCTCCCCACCTTAATTCTATCAAAGCCAGGAGACTGCTAGAAATGACCAACTGAGCAGAGCTTTGTCACTGCTGCTAAACTGCTCATCTGTTACACACAACCCTTAAATTAAAAATAATAATAATTTGAAAGGGTATGTGGGGGAAGACCCCTCATCACAGGCTCTTTTTGTTCAATTCAGTTCTTCTATGTGTTCAGCATCTCCTTGTCAGCATATGCTGCTTCCTGTCTATCCTTCTGCTCCCACATGCATGCTTCTCTGGTGGAGAATGCCAGCATCACAAAATTGGAATGAAAGACATTTGGTGCTACTTGTTTCAAACAGGCAGAAACACATAGGGTGTTCGTCCCTTGGTCTATATTTTATTGTAGCTGCAATCACAAGAGACTCTAAGCTGTGAACATATAATTAAAAATCTTGTCTGGTAATAAAATCCTGCTCAGTGCAAAAAACAAACCCCCCAAATCTCCTATTTTCTACATGTGATTTGTAGGTTTATTTTCCCCAAGAAAATCTAAACAAGGCAAATAATTGACTTTAATACAAAGTTTGAGCCCATCAATTGGTGTAGAACAGGGGTCGGCAACGTTCGGCACGCGGCTCGCCAGGGTGCTTACCGCTTGCCGAACGTTGCCGACCCCTGGTGTAGAAGCCGCGTGCCGAACGTTGCCGACCCCTGGTGTAGAAGCTGGGGTTTTCAGACATCTGTTTGTATTACTTCATTGGAGGTTTATATGGTCTCTGATTGCATAAATACTAAGAAGTGGGCTGTCTTACATTAAAACAGGAATTTAATAAGAAAGAAGGATCTGTACTTTGAGAGATAACAGCTTGTGCCTTTCTGGTAAGACATTTTGAAGTTGTTGACTTAAAACGTACATTGTTCAAACAAGGTACGGCACTCCATTCTCTAGTTGGTATATCCCTCTACCTATTCTTACTGCAGACCGCTTTCTTCAAGGAATGCACTATTTGTGCCTGAAATTTTATCCATACTTATGTTCTGACAACAAAGAGTCTGATTTTAAGTTTAAATGGTGGTTTTCCCTCCCCTCACCTTGCTATAAAGTATTTATTACTTTGAATTACTATTCATAAAAACATAAAGGAGCCAGCTAATACGCTTTTGAGAGAGAGAGAGAACAAAAAACATAAACCAGTAGCTAAACTGCTTGCAGCCCCCAACAAATCTCGCCCACAAAACTTGGCCCCCATTAAGCTCCTCCTTCCACAACAGTAAGTAAATATGCCTTTTGGTTTACCTAGAGGCTCAAGCGACATGGGTTATTTTGGACCAAAGTGAAGGAGCAGGAATTGGATTGGTTCTGGTGCCGTCCTGTTAAAATTGATGGGGTCCCAGTTTGTACAACCCCACATATCGTGACTGTTTAGGATAAATTTTTCCAAACAGTGTGTGGATTTAGCCCCGTGGCTTCCACTGCTGTTCAAGGCAGACTCAATCGTTGTCTGCCCTGTTGACAGCGTAGTACATTTCAAATGAAATTGTGCTGCTGATGTAGTTCACATGCCTGGCCTCTCTCTGCCTCAGCCATGTGCTTGTATACTTACACAACACACACTCTAGTAGTCTTGATTGATTGATCCATCTTCCCCTGCCCTTCCCGCACATAGAGGTTGTCAGTTCTGAATCAGTTGCACTGCAGCTGTTGATGATTCAATTGTGTCCCCACCTCCAAAATCCCTTTATCCTTAAATCTTTTACGGGAAAAGAACTCTTTGTAATCCACGAGCTAACCCGGCAAATAGGAAAGCTGTATTTTTTCCCATTAATCTTACTATTAACAGTTATTCATGTCTCTTCACCCCCGCCTCCCAGATTCCTTACATATTGTTTCTGAAAAATTTAGTGGGATCGTAGCCTTTGTATACATAAAGAATAAGATGATTGAAGACCTGGTCACAGCTTTATTTAGCTTCCTCCACTGTGTGTTCCTCCCAAAGCATTTTCCCCTGTCTTTGCCAAAACACTGTTTAGACTGTGTGTAAATATAAAAGAACTAAGTTTTAAAATCCTATACCATGTTGGGAGCCAGGCCTCTGGAAGGAACATCTTCCTAGAGGCCTCATTTCCCCTTCTACTGTGGGTTTTGTGGCTCTCTAAAGACCTATCAAAAGCCTTGCATTGTGAAGTATGAAGCTTATCTGGTTATCCAGCCTAGTTGTTTGGACTGAAATAGTACTATAGCTTTAAAAAAAAGGGGGGGGGGACACTGGATTCTTTCATGGTCTCTGACTACACAGCAGTTGTAATTAGTAGAAAGAAGCTAGAACCACTGTGAAGAGTCAAGCTTCTGCAGCAAATTTAACAAAGGCAAAGACAAATAGCCAGGTCCTTCCATTCAGTGTAGCACTTTCTTGGAGGAGTTTAAAGCACAAATGGAGTGGAGTGCACTCTGTTCAGCTCCTGTAATGTCACTTTGGAGTCGAATGCTCTTGCTTTTCATTTGTGTCTTTTTTTCTACCTTCACAAACCAATCTCAATCTCTCAGCAGTTTAGCAGCTAATATTGAAAGCTCTGTTGCTTTTTACTGAGTGCGCAGAAGACAATGAAGTTAGGGCTATTCTTGTCTCAAGGATCTTACAACCAAACGTAGACAAACACAGTACAGTTCCACCATAAAATCATATGGTGCATACACAGATCCATGCAGGAATTTGACAGTGTGGCTCCTGAGTGTGTCTCATGAATTGGGCTTTGTCCAAATATGCTTTTTGGGGGTGGAAAAGGAATTAAGAAAAATTGTATAGCAATATGAATTCATTGTGGGCACTGAGTTTTATAGAGTTTCCATAGAACAATAGAAACGCAACCCATGCTGAATTACAACTCTTATTTTGTAAGTCTTTTCTTTGTTTTACTAGCTATTCTCCGGGTGCAGTGTAGTGACGGTTTGTGTCTGTAGGGGATGGGTTGGATTTCCTGTGTCTGATGGACAACAAAATTCTTTCCCTGTTCCTATTCCTGCCTGTGCTGGAAGCGATGTACCGGTAGACTCATTGGAATGGTGTGCAAGCTCCAGCACTCTTTCCATGGGCCCCTGCATCTCAATGATGGAACAAAGTTAAAACTGCTGCTGTGAGGATATTAATAGGGAATGCATTTCATTCTCCAATTGCATTAAAACCCATTCACATTGGAATGACATGATCATGAGTTATAAGTGCCCAGTGCACATAACTTAGTACAGTTGGTAAGAATAAAGGTGCTTTGCTAGAAAACAAGGCTCTACTAGGGAGTAATGGGAGTTACTCTTGAGGCAAAAGGGCAAGAGAACAGACTATTTAAATGTTAATGAGTTCACCAGAATTGTGTGTTCCTACCTCTATTCTCTCTGCGAAATCAGTGTAACTATTTGCTCTTTCAGACCAAATACTTCAGTGTGATTTTTATTTTTTTAAATAAATCAAAACATAAAGCATTGGTTTGAGAAATAATCAGTTGACAGTATTGGTACCAACAACCCTACAACTTAGCTTATTTGCTCTAAAAGGAAAGGAATGTTTATAAGCCAGAACTAAGGGATGGCTACAAATGGCAAGGAGGAAAGTAATTTTTAAATCTGTGAAAAATACTGCAATTATGACAATTGTTAATATAGTTAAGTGACTGACTGAGAACCTGAGTATTAATAGTTAGAATTTATTCAGTGTCCTGAATGTTTATCCCTGACTGTTAACTTTCTATCCCAGCAGCCATTGGGACTAGTGCATGGAACTGATAAAAGAAACAATAGCAATTTATTCCAGTTTTGCGCAGTTCAAACCTTTGATCACTACCAAAAACTGCCTCTTTGACTCCAAGTTTAGGAAGAGTGACTACAACAGGAAAAAACCCCAACCCTCTCCCTAAATTAGTGTGAACTTAAACCGTTGTCCTTGGTTTTTTTTTTTAGTTAAAAACATACATGATGACTTCTTTTCTATATCACATCAACTAAGAAACTTAGTGATGCATAGCTTTGCTATGCTGGCCTTGTATGAAAACTAATATGCCTTGTATATACAGCATATTAATGAGCACATAGTCCAAAATTGCTGACCAGATTTATTTATAGTAAGATTAGCTGCCTGACTATTGTTAAGATGTTTTTCTTTAGCCCATAGCCAAAGGTTTCACTTTCATCCATTTTTGCATCCCTTATTTCATTACTTTCAAAACCCGGCAGACAGGCCATCTTTCAAAGCATTCTAGTTCATGAGTTCGTGAGCACGGCCTTCTGAAACAACACGAGCCAATGGACGTGGGTGTCAACAAAATGTGACCGATGATGACAAACTGAGCACTTTCCAAGGCTTCCATCTATCATGCAGCTGCTTTCATCGCTTGCACACAAAGAGACTCAAGAAGGCAGAGTGGACCCTGCCTTTTCTCCATCTCTCTCTCTGCCTCATTGATTCCAAGAATTTGCTACTAAAATGTATTCATTGACCAGACTGAGTGGGTGTGTTTTTCCATGTGTTTCCACTGAGTTCAATTTGTGCTTATTTATATTACAGTAGCACCTTGAGGCCCCATTCGGCGAGGCACTGTGCAAACACATAGGGAGAGGTAGTGTCTGCCCCAAAGAGCTTTCAGTCAGAACAGACAAAAGGTGGGAGGGGAAACAGGAGGCAAGGGTAGGTGAAGTCACGGAAGCAGGAGTAGAACTCACTCCTTCTGGTTCTCAGTCCTGTGCCCTGTTCCGAGACGATACTGCCTTTCCTCATAGTCTGTCCCATATTTTGGAAATCCAGCCTCCCCACCTCAAAATTCTATGCTGGCTCACATTCTTTTCTTAACAGCTGAGCACATTTTTTTGGTTACCTCAGCTATGCAAAGCGATAACAAAAGTTTGACGAGTGAAGAATTTTCTCATCAGCTTCAGGACCAGGAAAATACCCATCAGCTGCTTTGAGTTTAAATTATGTTTCACTTTCAGGTGACAAAACCGAAGTTGTTGCATTAAAAAAAATTATCTTGAAGAGTAGCTGGGGTTAGGGGCAAAACATATTGAGCTCAGAGTTGATTGTGGGGACTGGGGCAGAAGCAGAGGAAAACTATCCAATGTATTCTGCTGGTTATGCATGAAGACAAAGGGGTGCTCAGATCTAAGAGAGCAACAGAAAAACATAGGCTCTGAAGAATAAAGAAACAATTATACCTGTCAACATTATCCCAAATTATACAAGGCTCTGATTATTTTTGGAACAGTTTGAAGGTGTTTGTGCAGGTTTTCAAACTGGGAGGATGAAAATAACCCTAAAAATATGCAACCATGCATTGACATCAAGACAAGAGATTGGTCCAGTGTGCATTTTAATGCAGAGTTCATCTATAGTTGTGTTAATTAATTTCTGAATAATCTCTCATGCAAGGGAACTGCATAATGTCAGCTTTATATGGTGTTCAGCAACAACCATGGCAGCCTTCTGTTCCTGGGGAGCATAGAGAGAGTTGGTGATATTTCGTGATACAGCAGGCTACACAGTCCAGGGTGATGGAGCCTATGTTGATGATGAAGAAGCCACTTCTGGTTGGTGCCACTCTAGCTCCATTCAGGATGGTGGGTCAGGGGCTACAAGGTCAGTTGCCATGTACAAAGAAGAGAGAAGGACTGTCGTCCTCCTCCCCTCTCTTCCCCCAAAAGCAGGACTATTTACGTAAAGCATCACAGCACTGGAATCTTGAAATAGGTTTCTGCCACACTGTGAATTTGGAGGTAGACTGGTTGTCCTAAATGCCTTGTGATACTGTATGATCATCTGTAGTTCATGAACGACTTCTTTGCTATGGCTGTTTTTCACCCTTGGAATAGCCGCCCTTTATTCATCATTTTCTGTCTTTCAGCTGCTGATGCCCTTGTGACCAAGGAATGTTCAGTTAACCATGATAACTTAGGCCTGGGGTTATTTTCCTTTCAAGGCATCCATTCTTTTGTGTACTGTTTTTTAATGATGCAGCTGAACTGTGCGTTTGTGTGAGCTCCTCATGCAGAGAAATTGTTTTAATTTTAGAGGAACAGCCATGTGCAAGTTTGTTACTTGAGGACACATCTGGAGATAGGAGACTAGACTGGTGTGGAAAAATAGCAAGTCTCAAGAGAAACTGCAGAAATATTCTTAATTGGTGGTATTCTTCAGAAGTAGTTTTGCAAATGTTGCCGTTAGCAAATAGCCTTCTTTGCAAAGAGGAGAAACATTTGGAAGACCAAGAAAAATTCGTTGTTGGCCTTTGACTTGAAGTAAGGCCGTGTCTACACTAGCGAGCTTACAGTGGCACAGCTGTACCAATGCATGTAGCCGCTGTATGCCAACGGGCGAGAACTCCCCCGTCAGCATAATAAAACCACCTCAACGAGCAGCGGTAGCTATGTCAGTGGAGAAGCTCTCCTGCCGACGTGGCACTGTGTACACTACCACTTATGCCAGCCAAACTTATGTCGCTCAGGGATGTGGGTTTTTTCACACCCCGAGTGACATAAGTTTTGCCGACATAAGTGGTAGTGTAGACATGGCTTTATGTGTTCACTGCCAAAAAAGGGTATGTTTTTACGGTGAGAGAGAGAACTCAAATTAACCATCTCAATGTAAAATCCCAATGAAGACAAAGCACAGGCAGTTTTTGCCTTGATATTGCTTGTTGTGGTGAACCCTGTATTGCCCAGCTGGGATTTACCTTGACTAGTTACATTAAGGTAAAAACTATAGTTCATTGTCCCCACTAGGATAGCTATCTCATTGTAAAAATACACCTTTTTTGCAGTGACGACATATCCAGTAAGGGTGTATGTGTGAGTGTGAAATAAGAATTTCAACACAATCGTACTAATTTTCATTAACCTTTGTGCTATGGTAGATGACTTCATCCCCCATTTCTTAAAATTTCATAAAGAAGTTCAGTCCCATAGCAAAAATTTCACATTTTCTGGGTTCCATTATGAATGCAGAAGCATCCCTTAAAGAGGTCACTTTGTCTCCTCGCATATATATTTATTTGCAAGAGCTGCACAGATTGTTTCCAAAACCACTCAACATTCCCTCGATTGTTCGGGTTGTAGTTTTTGTTACTAATGGGAAACTTGTCCTAGGTCAGTAGAATGGCTAGCAGACTCTTCAAACAAATCATGTCTTTGTTTTTTAGAAGAAATCATGTGAACTTCAGGTGATGCAAACCCACATGAATTGAAAATGAGGAAATCATTCACATGACCCTCTGCTCTCCAATGACCAAGTTATATACAGTTCTAGCTCCTACACTTCCAAAATGACTTACAAATTCAAAACTTCAGTTATAATGATATTGCTGTGAGGAGTCCATACAGGCATATGTCAGTTTGCATCTAACCATGAACTTGTAGCTTTTTATTTTTTTCCCTATTCTTTTCTTTCTTTTAGTATTCTATGGCCAGCGTTACCAATGCAAAATCGCTGTTTAGACCAATTTTACCGAATTAAAAGTGGCCCGATTTTTTTCCAGAGATGCTGAACACCCTCAATGGTAGTTGATATTATTAAGGAGCTGCAGCTCCTTAGCACCTCTAGAAATAAAGCCACACTCATTTAGGTCCCTAAACATAGATTTAGGGACCTAACTTTGGGAACTGAAGTTGCAAAAATTTGACTTAACCATGTGTTAAATATGTGAAATTAACACTTCCTCAGAGGCTGCTGTCATGTTCCCTTTATTTTAAACATCGAAGCAGTGCACTAAGAAAAAATTATTGCAGATTGTATTCCTTGGTCTCAAAAGATTATATAATCAAGATTTAATACATATTTAAATGAAGTTCTACTGCATTTTATTAGAATGTTCTAAGCAGACATGAAATAAACAACAATAGAAAGCTTCCCTTCCATCCTAACGTAAGTTACAAAATGCATGTACGTACAGCAGCATCACATGTCCTTTGTTGGTGAATATTCTATGGTAGCAGGCATTGCCGGGTTGCTATGTTTTCATTGGACCGCAAAAATAAATCATGGCAGGATTTAGCCATCTGGGGCGAAAGGAGAGTTTCTATAATCTAGTTAACTTTTAAGGGGAGCACTAAACATTATTGTATTGTCACAACCTTCCCATCTGTTGGGGTTTGTGCGGGATCCTAATAAGAGGCCACCGTAACATATTGTGCCATGCTCTTTGAAAACCTCCTTTATTATTAAACAGGGCTGTGGCAGCATTTGCCTAACAGTTTACTGTGAAAGGAAAAAGTTCTAACGTTTCTGATAAACCCATTTGATAAAGCTGTGCCCGTAAAGATAAGGTGGTGGCGATAGGCATGTTCCTGGTGTAGTAAGTAGTAACGGACACGTTTCATACTGCACTTCATACTCAGCATTCATTCTCTGAGCACAATGGGAAGGCCAAACTTCACTGTCACAATGAGCTATTAGCCCCTTTAGCACCACTTACCAGGCTGAGCATTGTTAATAATCCATCCATTCCCTTTTCTCCTGTGGTGTGTGCTGTGCTCGTGTCTGTGGGTATGCCACCAGCAATAAGAATCTGCTTTTGATCGCTATTCTGCTTTGTCTTGCAGTTACCCAGTCAAAGGTGCATGCTTTGGACTTTCCCCAGCTAACCTCCCTGGGGCAAGGACCATCTTTGTGTTCTGTGTTCGTACAGCGCCTAGCACAAGGGAGTCCTGGTCCATGACTGAGGCTCCTAGGTGCTCCGGCAATACAAATAATAATAATAATATAGGAGTAGTGTCTTACACAGCACCTCTGATTTCATTCCACCTCAACGTTAAAGCATGACCTTGGTTATTCTCAGTTACTGGTACCCAGCAAGTCTAAGGTTAACTTTGATTTCCAGGACCTGCTTCTCTTCTTGCTCACTTTAGTGATTTCAGTGGAATTACTTCAGATGTCCTATAAGTGAAGGGAGAATCGGGCCTCAGGGCTTCAGAACAGCAGCAAATCATCAGGCCAGCCATCACCTTTGGTTTGTATAATGGACAGCAGCAGCTTTTCATAGAACAATACAACAATACGAGTGGTGGTGAAGGTGTGGTTGTGGTCTGCTAGAATCCCCAGTGTTCTGCATAAATGAGCTAGAAGAGTTTTATTTTTCAGCTTAAAACTATGAGAAATATATGGAAATTGCCCTGTCTGTCCGCACTGTGTGTTTGAAATACAAAATGTGTCTTGACTATAATACCTCCCTAAAGGTCAATATAACTTAAGAAATAAATTTACTAGACTTTTGAAAATAGGCTGAGGTTTTAGATGTGGTATGAGTACATATTGATTTGCTGTAGAGTACGTGGGTCTCTGTTAGAGAAGTTTAATTTTGCTTTAGCCCAGTTTATGTAGCTCTGCAGAATAGGTTCATGGAAATACTGAATTAAAGTCAGATACCATTTCTTGCTGTGTATTTTCAGTGAGAAATGTCTACCTACAAATTATTTTTTCTTAATTTCAGTTTGCTTTGATTTGCCTAGTTTATTTCCATGTTCCCTGAAGCCCTCTGTACTACTGTAAAACCTTCAGAGTGTTTAAGAGACTAATGTTGTAAGTGTCATGATGTTGATTAGTTCAACTGAGAAGAAAGAGAATGGCAAGCTTTATAATGTAGAGAGGGTACAGATTGGGTTTTGTGGGCCTTTTGCATACCTTAATCTGTTTTAAGAACATATGTGTATATTTAAGAATGTACCATTATGATGGTACCTGAGTGCACTGAGTACCTCACAGTCTTTATTCATTCTCACAACAGATAGGAAGATGCTATTATCCCAACTTTGCAGATCGGGACCTGAGGCACAGACTAAAAAGTGACTTGCTCCAGGTCACGTGGGAGGTCTCTGGTGGTGCAGGAAACTCAACCTCATTCTTCCAGGTGCTAGGCTAAGTGCTGTAAGCAAGCCTTGTTATTTACTCTAAGGCTTTTATTCTTGAATGAAAATGTGAAAGCTGCAATAGGACTATAATGTAATCGCAAACGCTGATAGTTTTCCACCAACTCTGTTTCTTGATGTCAGGTATAGAAAGAGGAGGCAAGAGTGGCGTATGTTTTAGAGAAGTAATACAAGCAATAAACTGAGAAAAAGCAACAAAAAATGAGCAATACTGTGTGAGCAATGCCTTTTCTGGCTCTCGGGGTAAATGGAGTTTTATTCAAAATGGAACCAACAGGTGTTCATGTTAGGAGAGAATGGCATTTTAAATAAATTATCCATTCATTTCCTCTGGAGAGTTTCCTATTGTGTGGTCACAATGTGCTTTCCTGTTTTTAAAAAACAACTTAAAACAAAAAATAAAACCCTAGCCTATGGCCTATGGCAGGATGGAATGAGAGAAGTGTTTGAAGTGGGGGGATTTGTAATTGCTTTTCCATCCTTTGCACTGACATAACTGACACTCCCCTTTCATTCTGTTGCTGCTTTTGAAAGTTCTGTGATAAGTACATGTGGAGAAAATATTGTAAGATAACTCACTTATAAAAATGCTGTTCCAGTTCTCAGTTTCTATGAGTGTTTCCTTTGTTCACCAACTCTGTGCAGTAGGAAAGCTGATGTTAAAGTTTTTGCAAAAACCTGTGGATTTTTGTGATGCTAGAAAGGAGTAGGTGAACAAAAGCTCTCCTTCCCACTCCCTACCAAAGTAAACCTAAATTGAGGGCAGTATACTGTTTCCCTCCTGGATTTTATTTTCAATCATTTGGAAAATACAGATCAGAGGATTAAAGACTATATTTAACATTAGTTTTGAAAATGTTTTTGCCAAGCTCAAGGTGGGGTGGTACCTGTTGAGGCTGATTGATTGCATTGTTGCTCCAAGACACATTTTGAAGTTGGTAAATGTCCAACTCCAGCTTCTTAGTAAGAATGTTAAAGTTATCTGACCGCCGTTGGTAGCTGCATTTTTACACGCTAGCTGCTGGTCTGTGCATGTTTGTATCAGTGTCCCTCACTTTGCTGAAGGAACCAAAATCACATTCTCTCTGCAGCAAAATAGTTTGTTTAGAACATTTGGCTCTGCACGCATGGAGCGCCACCCACGTTACAACAGTTGGATCAGTGCCAGAAGCAGCTGTCTTCTGTATCTGGGCTTTTAAAGAGGAATGAAACAAAATTATTCATTGGTGAGTGCAACTTAAAATCCTCAAGGGACTGAGCTGCTGTCCTTACACAAAATTCCCCTTGGAGCATTGTCTGAGTATGTATTACAGCATCTGACTTCATAGGGGATTAAAGAATTTGGTACGTCCTATGCGCAAGCCAAGAACTCAGCCCGTTTTAAGCGTGGCACTGTGAAAGGTTTATCCTCTGTACACCAATGGGCATAACTGATAACAGATTGCAGCCAGGGGGCAAGGTGCGCACACACATCAAATGGATTTAAAACAGTATGTGTTGCATTTTTTACTCTTGATCTCACTTGAGGGCCTCATCCTAGTCTCACGGATGCTAATGGAAAAACTCCTATTGACTTCAATGGGAAACATCTTGCCAGGAACACCCGAGTGTGTGTCCAGTCCAGTAAATTCACAGGTTTGTAGTAATTGGAGCACAGGGGATTTGACAGGCATTGTTTATAGTGCAGCAGTTGCCACGTGCAGTATCCCACTGAAGAAAACACAATAACCAGAAACCACTCTGTTTATCTGTTGGTTCTGGGCCTCTGATCTTTAATATTTAGGACTCTCTTCATGGAAATGGCAGGAGCTGAATTGATTCCTCATGAGCTGTAATCCTGTTTTCTGATATTCGCTCTTGTCCTTTTTCTTCCACCCAAGCCTTTTGCTTCCCTGGACTGTCAAGTTGTTGTTGTATAGAGCACGGGTTTGTTCAAAAAGCGAGTGAAAATACGGGGCTGTCATGGCAGTGCCCATTATATTTTCACTTGCAAAAAGGTGTCATGATTGCAGATCTCCTGCCAGCTCTTCCAAATTGAGTTTTTAGTATCATCTGATGTTCTCTTGAAAACAAAGGAATCCATTAGCGAGTGCTTCCCATGACACCCTTCCTGACACCAGGAGAAGCCATAACTTACGCCCAGGGAGGAAACAGCTTGAGGGAAAGTCCAATTAAAAAAAAAAAAAGTCACATATGGCAAAATATTTCAAAATCAATGTGTTTGTAGGTTTTATATTTAATATAGCTGGCACCGAACATTCAGAAATTTTTCCTTCAATTTCCTTTTTGTGTCTGATTTTGTATCTTTTAAAAAGGTGTATGAAATATTGGTTACATTTACAACCAGAACCAAAAGGAGGGGGAGATGGGAAGAACAGATGATCCTGTAGTTAGCTTTTCTGTTGTTCTTCTTTATTCTTTATTGGTAGAGTGACCAGATGTCCCGGTTTTATAGGGACAGTCCCAATTTTGGGGTCTTTTTCTTACTTTCTTTCCTATTACCCTCCACCCCCGTCCCGATTTTTCACACTTGCTGTCTGGTCACCCTATTTATTGGTATTGTGGTAATACCCAGGAGCCCAGTCATGGACCAGGATCCCACTGTGCTAGGTGCTGTACAAATGCAGAACAAAAAGACAAGCCCTGCCCCCCAAATCTTGCAGTTGAGGCTCAAGACTGGAAGCAAAATTTATGTTCTATTCCCATCTCTGTCCCAGACTCACTGTGTAATCTGCACTTAGTGCCTGAACAGGCTCTCATTGAAATCAATGTCAAAATTCCCAGGGACTAAAATGGTGCAGGATCAAGCCCACAAACTCTGGGCCTCCATTCACCTATCTGTAAAATGTGGGTGATGATACTTCCTTACCACATGGGGGTTCTATGAGGCTAACAATAACAATTATTGCTCGTAAAGCACTTAGAGATTTTCAAATGGGGGAGGTGCGGCATCAATGCAATGTCTCTCGATTGTTTTGTTGTTCTGTGAAAGACACTTTGGCTCCTTTATGTGCCAGTGGCATCTGAGGTCTGAATCTAGATATGGTTTCAAGCAGAGCTTTTAACGTTTTCGAAAAACGCTAGGCTGATGTGATGCTCCAGATTCTAAATACCTTGGTTTGTTTTTCAAAAGGTACAATTCCACTTCTAAGAAACTGTGTGCGTGAGTGTCCCATGGAAATCAATACTTTGTGCACCCCCTCCACGAGCCCTGAGCCTAACAAACATTATTCCTTAAGGCAGTGCAGATCAGCTGAGGGGCTGGCTGTGTGTTAATTGGCACTCGGTTAGACACTCAGTCAAAGATCCTGCTGTTTTCCAAATGGACTAGGACAAATCTAGTAGGAATATGAGAATGTTATTTTTTAAGCTTCCAAAGGTGTAAAACCAAATTTGCTCAAATCGCAGGTTGCCAGGAGTCAGATTTGCATTAAATTTGCATAAAGTTGGACACTTAACTTGCAGAAAGTAGAGCCAGGTGCAGCTGGGAGTGCAGCATTTTAAGCCCAGAAACTACAAATCCCCCAGCATGCAATGCTCCATTTTAATGTGAGCGTAAAGCCACTCACCTAGTTTCACAAACTGAACAAATGCGGATTACTCAAGCTAAATGTGCCTAACCATGTCGTTATTGTTTCCTTTTGCAGACACAAGTCACCAGGCTCGCTCTGTGTCCAGCAGACCTTACTACACGTTGCCCAACAGCAGCCATGGAAGGCGTTCTGTCCTCACCATTGCAGAGCCCCCGCGTTTCCACTCCCAAGCCAAGGGCAAGAACGTCCGTCTGGATGCCCACTCCCGCAAGGCCACCCGGAGGAATAGCTTCTGCAATGGGGTCACTTTCACCAACCGGCCCATCCACCTCTATGAGAAGGTGCGGCTCAAGCTGGTGGCCGTGCACCATGGGTGGAGCGGGGCACTTCGCTTTGGCTTCACCATCCACGATCCATCACAGATGAGCTCTGATGACATACCAAAGTATGCCTGCCCCGACTTGGTGACTCGGCCTGGATTCTGGGCTAAAGCTTTGCCAGAGAGGTTCGCACTGAGGGACAATATCCTAGGATTCTGGGTCGACCGCCATGGGAGAGTCTTCTATAGTATTAATGATGAGGAGCCAATATTGTTTCACTGTGGCATTAAGGTCTCGGGGCCTCTCTGGGGGCTGATAGATGTCTATGGAATTACCCATGAAGTGCAAATACTAGGTGAGTGTACTTTCTCTGCATTGGCTTGCTCCTATGGGTCATGCTTTCTGTAAAGCCAGCTGCATCTTCATAGAGGAAGCAAACATGGCACATCTTACCTGATGTTCCTAAAAACAGGCTTAAGCATGAACAATTCGTGACTGGCACCGTGAACATTTCAGTATTGCCAGCAGCAGGGATCCAGGGAGCTCCCTGATTCTTAAAAGTTAGTGTTTGGAAAGCTCTCATGAATCCTATACAGTCCATCCCCTTGCCAGTGTAATGTAACTCCCTAAAGTATATTTTCCAGTGCTCTGTCCACTCTGGTTCTAAATCTCTCGAGTAATGGCGTGTCCAGTGTTTCTCTTGAGAAGCTCTTCCGCAATCTAATAGATGTCACTGCTTATTCCTTAATTTCTTTTCCCCCGATATCCAGCCTCAATTTCCATTTTGGTAGTTTAATCCCATCGTCCATAGAGTTCACAGATTTTAAGGCCAGAAGTGACCATTGTGACCACATAGTCTCACCTTCTGCCTAACACAGGGCAAAGAATCCTACCCTACAATTTCTGCAGCAAGCCCGTAACTTTTGTTTGAGCTTTAGCTTATCTTTTAGAAAGACACCCAGTCTCTAGTTAAAGACTTGAGATAATTCACTACATCTCTAGGTAAGTTGTTCCTATGGTTAATTAACCTGATGGTTAAGATGCATTGTTTTATTTTTAGTCTAGCTTTCAGCTTCCAACCACTTTATCTTCTTGTTCCTTCTTCTGTTAGATGAGCATTCGCTACAATCAAAAATCCCTTCCTCGTGTAGGTACTTGTAGAATGTAATCAAGTCACCTCTACACCTTCACTTGGATATATTAAACTTCTTTAGTCTCTTGCGATAAGGCGTGCTTTTCAGACCTCAAATCATTCTTGTAGCTCTTTTCTGAAACATTTCCAATTTTTAAATCCTCTTTTTTTAAGTATGAACATCAGAACTGGACACAGAATTCCCACAGATGCAATGCACTGGGAGCTCATGTTCAGTTGGTTATCTGCCATGACCCCTAAGTCCTTTTCAGATTCTCTGCTTTCTAGAATACAGCCCCCATCTTATCAGTGTCACCCACATTCTTTGTTCCTACGTGTCTCACCTTGCATCTGGCTGTGTTGTAATCATTCTTTGTGCCATGCTAAACTGCATTTCCTCTGTGGAGTATAGGCCTTTACAAATATATATTGATGGTGATCATGTTCCTTAGTAAACAGTCAACCTCTAGTCAAGTAAAACACACATAGTTTTATTCATCTTTCCTTCGACTCCTTTAAACATTTATTTTCAAGCTTGCATTTCCTTTAGAAATTTGATTTTTAACTTCTCTTTACAGTCACAATTCTGGTTCTTAGCCAGTCCATGACTGCTTTGTACTCAATATTCATCCATACAGGGTCCTAGTAAAATTTTTATGATCCCTTCCGTTTATTTGCTCATTGTGTCTTGCAGCACATCTCACTAGCGGGTTTCTCTTGATTACACTAAGCCAGGAAAACAAAAATATTTATTTTAAGTGTGCTTGGTTATGTTGCACTGGAGTGAAATAGGATTCTGCTTTGGAGCAGGGTACATCAGTGACTGAAGAGACAAAGTCAATTGAATCAGGCTTCCTCTGTTCCTGTTTCAGATACCCAATTGTAGTGGCCCAGTGAAATGCTATGACTCATCCTCCAAGCGTGTCCTATTCCCCTTCCCCAGCCCCTGTGTCTGAGGCTGCAGTTTATATATTTTATCTCCTATCAGGGCCACTTAGAGCCTCTCACGTTACATTCCAGTGCTATCAAAGGGTTTTTTAGAAATCACAGCACCTAAACACAAGAGAGGCCAGCTTCCACGCTTATCAGCCAGGGGACAGCAGTGTCGTCATTTTCTTTCTAAGAGTTTGGAAACCTTTTCTAAGCTTTGGGTCCCTTCCCTCCCTCATCCCTCCCCCCACTAAACTCTTCCATTTAGACAAGAGATTTAAGGTCGTGTTTCTCTTGACATAGCCTTTTGTCCTCCTGTGTTACAGGTGATATAACTTTTGGCTCAGTCAGTCTACCTAGATTTACAGCTCAACAGACTGTGCTTGCAAGCTGGAGCTGACTTATCTTTGCTCGTATAAACAAGGCCATTACCATACATTTACAAGGCACTGGGCCTGGTGGTACTGCAGTGATGTAATCTGCCAGTTAAGTGTTCTAAGAACATTAATGTAAAACTTGCATGTTTCCCAGGTGCTGCTGGGCTATCTGCAATAGCGTATTATATCTCACCCTGACGTGTGGTACCAAAAAGCTGACCTTAACCAAGTCACTGAGTTCATCAGTGACTTCAGATTTGGTTTGAAAGGGAGGTTTTTGAGTTTTGTCACTTTCAGTGGACGCAATTGCAAAAGAGGATTTGGTTGTTTTAAGCAGACTCTTAAATGAAGCTCCATAGAAGTGATGCATGTAACGTTTGTGAGTTTTTTGAAAAAGACATTCAAGATTCAAGTGAATTTTGGTGTCGTATTTCAAAACTAGCACGCACCAAAACTGAAGTTCAGTTAAAATCTACATACAACCTCTTTCCCCGCCACAAACCCCTTCCCTATTGATCAGCTGATTTAATCCGAATATCCACAGCTTTTATTTTTTCTAAGAAGGTGCCTCTGATGTATCAAATGGGCACCAGATCAAATATTTTAGATTTGGCCAAAGTGATTAGTCCATCAGATATTCAGCGATGACCGAGATCCTTTTTGATATGGTACCTGCTATATTACAGCAAATAATGCTAAACTATAAACAGCACTTTACACAGTGCTACTGCGTGCTCTGATTGCCTGAAACATGTTAAGCATTATTATTCAGTTATCCCTTAATTGTAGCTACTATCCACTGTAGCACTCTAATATTCTATTGGACAACAAATCTATTTAACCACTGACAGGTTGTTTTTTTTCCTCATTGTCCGTGTTGCTTTTTAAATTGTCAGCGGTAGTTCTAGTTATTAAAAAACAAAACCCTTTACTCTTGTCATAGTATGTTTTGTTCACCAGTTTGATCCTGCAGTGGTGTAGTGGACAGAACAAAGGACCGGGAATCGGGACTCCTCTGGCCTGATCTTCAAAATGCCAAGTGCCCCACAAATCCCCTTGAAGTCGATGGGAGCTGTAGACATTCCAGATCTTAGAAAGGCAGGCCACTAAGCAACGTTCTCAGTTCTCGCCCTGACTCACTAGGTGATGGTGGGGAAACTGAGTTTCATTTGGAGCAGGGGCTGATCAGCACCTGTGAAATTCAGGCCCTTAATTTCTGTGCCTCAGTTTCCTCCTTTGTAAAATAGGAATAACTACCTTTTGGAGGCTTGGAGGTTAAGTGCAATGTTTTGAGATCCTCAGACTAAAGGTGCTGTAGAATGCAGCGTGGAATTTCTAATTCATGACCATTTATTAATATGACAAAAGCCTATGACGGCCTATGCACAGTATTGTGACTTCACTGCCAAGTTGTCTGAATTAGTCTGTCCCTTCTGCTCATTTGGTCTCTGCACATTGGGAAATGTCGCAGAGAGGGACTGGACAGAGGGATTTGCTTTGGGTTTAAGCGTTTTTCTCCTCCTCAATTCTTCCCATTATAAAAAACCCCTCTTTAAGGCCTCTCTGAACACGTACAGACAGTAAATGAAGGTTTCAGATGCCAAAGGGACAATTGTGAGAAGTTTCTTTATTCCAGTCTTGTCGGCTTGGTTTACATGCTACGGTGTTTCTTTAAAAAGCAACAGAGTCCTGTGGCACCTTATAGACTAACAAACGTATTGGAGCATAAGCTTTCATGGGTGAATACTCACTTAGTCAGACATTTTTTACAGATCCAGACTAACACGGCTACCCCTCTGGTGTTTCTTTAGTTTGGCTCTTTTGGTCTGTTAACTAGGCATGCCAGTCTGACTGGATTTCCATTCTAAAACTGCAGGAATGGGGAAAGCTGGGAATGTAGCCCAAATATAGCAGCACTGTAGCCCCTACATAGAATGCATCCTTCAGTGTTGGTATCATGAAGCTCTGAAGTGTCCTTCATCCTGTATCTGAGCTCTACTTATCGCCAGATTCCCTGTCCTTTCTGGAAGTAGCTGGTCCAGCCATTAAGATTACGCTTGAGGCTTTGCTGCTTGGCCACTCAAAGAAATCATGCATCTAAGCCGAGGCATCCTGTCCTTTCCAACCACTGAACTGGCTCGTGTGTTTGCCTTCTTTGGTAAAAATCCAATAGATCTTCTCCCATAAGTAGCAGACAGCATGGATGATGCTGATGCTTTTCCATCTTTGAGAAGGAATTGAATCATGGTTTGCTCACTCTGTCTTGATGCCTTATGCGTTGGATTTAGTCTGGGTTTTAATATAATTGCCTAAGAAGTAAATACACAGGCAGCAGGGAGTTGCGTATGGCTGAAGTGCACATTTGATTTGTGAGACTTGAGCTTCTGTGATTTCACCCTGCTTTGTAAGAGGACTTTTTTAAAATCAAAATAATTTCCTCCCGTTTTAAATATATATATATATATTAGATGTAGTTTTCATGACCAGCTCTTGACAGGAATCAACGCACAATATCAACTTTGAACATTATCTCGGTCTTAATGTTTCTGGGTCATAAACATCTGTTATAGTCAGTCTCTTGATGAGACAGTAACAAATGGGAAGTGGTCTTCTGACTGAGCCTGTGACTTGCTCATGTGTTTCAAAGCACAGTGACCTCTTCGTTAAAGCGAACATGTTTCTTTTTTAAAAAAAATACTTTTTTGTGTGTAATTTGTCTGCGTTCACATGTATTTTTCATAGTTATGAAATGGACTGTAAAATTAATATATTATGCTTGCATTACCTTTCCCATCACCCTTATGTGAATACAGGGTGGCGGGGGGGAGTTTGGGATGTGGGGGGGCAGGGTATTGGGACATTTCTCATTAAAGCAGATAGAACTGGAGAATGATATTGTATGGAATGGTTTCAAGCCTTTATACCCCTCCCTGATCGCAACCGCCTGTCTAGTTCACTGTGTTTCACCCTGTTTTTACTGGTATAAGCACTTTTCACTTCAATGAATAAAATTTATAGCACTTGCTACTCTTTAGATACCCAGGGATGCAGCCATGCAGCTGACATCTGATTTCCATCATTGATGGTGGTTGCAGATAAGTTTCTCTAACATACTCCATCAAAAATCAGTGGCTGAACACCATTCACTTTCTCACTGATGGTCAGTGGGCAGAGGTCTGCAGGAGAGCTAAATATAGCTGACCTGTAGGGGAGGTTGGGGGTGGGGGAGGTACTTGAATCTAATGCAACTTGTTCTCATAATTGTCTCACAGATAGCATGTTTGCAGAGACCATGACCTCCACCCACCTCAGTGCACGATTGAGCACTTGCCTTCCTCAGAGCAGTCACGATTCCGCCAACTTCAATAACAATGAACTGGAGAACAACCAAGTGGTGGCCAAAATTGCTAATCTAAATTTGAGTCGGGTGCCGGGGCTGTCGATGGATAACCACACAATCCCCTGTTGCCCAAACAGGCGGCAGCGTGCCCAGGGTGTGCCTGCCTTTCTGGATACGGATCTGCATTTCCACCCCACCCGCGGGCCTGATGTTACCTTTTCTCAGGACCGCATGGTGGCGTGCACCAATTGGCAAGAAAGCAATAGGACTTTGGTGTTTTCTGACCGGCCTTTGCACATTGGTGAAAGCCTCTTTGTGGAAATAGGACTCCTAGGGTTGCCATATCATGGGGCCCTTTCGTTTGGCATCACTTCTTGTGATCCAGGTACTTTACGGACAAATGAGCTCCCAGCGGATCCGGACTTTCTCTTGGACCGCAAGGAGTACTGGGTGGTTTACCGAGCATTCCCAGTCTTCAGCAGCGGCGACATCCTCAGCTTGATGGTCTTGCCAAATGGAGAAGTGCACCATGGGATGAACGGAGTCAGCCGAGGGATGCTTATGTGCGTGGACACCTCACAGTCTCTCTGGGTGTTTTTCACAATCCATGGTGTAATCAACCAGCTCAAAATATTAGGTAAGTGCAGCCTAAAAGTAATGTGAAGGGGCATGTGTCTTGTGAAATTTCACCAGATTGTGAGCCTCTCATTTGCACTGGTGACATTGGCTTTCATAACAATGCTCCTGTGAGGAGGTGAGCACCACTGTGAATAAGCAGTTCACGATCTGGTCCCGAGTGAGGGTGGTCAGCTCTATCAAGCATGCAATAAAATGGGTGCTTGTGTTTATAAATGGAAAGAAATAACATAGGTATATCCTTCACATGTAAGGTCATTGGATGAGACTTATGGTTTTACATGGGCTAATGCTAAGCTGTTTTGTATTTTAATACTTTTCACACGAGAATCTTTATGAACCCACTAGTCCTGCCGACGGGTATTAAACTCCGAACTCACTAGCACAGATTATTTTTATAAATCAACAGTGGTTTTAATCTATATCACGCTGTTAGATGGTATTTCCCCAAACACTGCAGTAACTCATTATCAGATGCCACACTTTAGACCATTGCTGTAGAATACAGCTGTGCTCTTTAGAAAGGAAAGAGTGCTTTGGAGGTCACATCTTTCTGCTCCATCTAGAAGCAATTCGCTCAGTTAAATTGAGGCTCTTTCTAACTGTCAGCACTGCAAACTTACTCTTTCCTCTGCATATCTAGCTCTGCTGTTTCTTCTGTGTGCCCTGGGTCATCAACAGCAACAGTGTTGCTTGAGCTGGAACTTTAAGTGGCAGTTTCAGTTTGGATGCATGAAGCAGAAAAAAATGACTACTGCTGCTTATTCTCCAGCTAGAGCAGGTGCCTCTCAGGGTACGTCTACACTGTAGTCTTAGCCTGTGCTCCTACATGTGTTTTTGCCCACCACCCCCCATCCAGACATAACATCTTGAAGCACACGTTTGTTTATGTTTTGAACCCATGCTTGCTTGCAAGGCTGTGGGGTGGGTTAAAGCCCAAGCTGTATTTTAGTTTGGGCTGGAACCCACCCACTTTGCAGTACAGTTTGAGGCTATATCACTTGAGTGCTGATAGTCCTCCAAGACCCTTCCCACAGTTCCCTTTGTGAGACAGACAGGTTCTCCTGCAATTGATCCAGTTGACTGGGAAAAAATCCTAGAGCATCTCAGCACAAAGCACCCTGAGATATGCCCCTAAACACACATGAGCCAGTGAAGAAATAGTTTGGACACAGTAACGGGGTAAGGCTTTGAGTGAGGATGCTCACAATATGGTTAGGCGAATCTGAGTGCGAGTCTCACAGAACCAGGTATCAGTCATTCAGGCTAAGAGTGCAGTGTAGACATAGCCTAATACGTCACCATGATTTCATTTGTTATTTCTGAGTTATACTAGCTTGTACCTAAAGAGAATCAAGTAAGTAAATATTACCTTGGTAAAAAATGTTTATATGCATTTTTAGTAACCCAAGTGCTCAGTTTCACCCACCCTCAGATATATATGTGCATGCAGCTTCTGGTAGCTTCACTGGGAATGATCTGTGAGCACACAATTTGGCCTGTAAATATTCAGCTTAGAAGCACAGAATAGTCAAAGTTGCACAAGACCTCAAGTGAGTCATTATCAGGACACGGTTAATTCAATTCTCTACAGTATCTGATGGAGAATTCTCAAGCTTTTCTTCCATTGACATGATGCAAAATGTTCCTAGCTGAACAGCAATATCCCTTGTTGCCCTAAGCAGACTAATTATTTTAAACTTAAGTGGAAATAACACATCCCAGTCGCTCCATGTATTGGACTGCATTTTGATTATTATCCTAAAGCACCTTCCATTTAAAAATCTCAGAGCTGTAGCTCTTTAAACTGTGTTGGATGTAGCTTTAAAGATTTTCTTCTCAACTCCCCAGTTGATGAGGCTGGCTGCCTTTGCAGACATAGGTTCATGTCAGGCAACCAGCCACTGGCTGCTTAGTTGTCTTTGCTTGAAAAGATGTTCATATTAAAGTAAATAGGGAGATAATCGCAGCCTCCTGTCTCAGACAGGTGTTCCTAGTCAGATCAGGTGGGTAGCAGACAGGCTGAATGAACTGGGAACAAGCACTGTCCTC